CTTCCGTTTGTTGACTATTTTTATTTACCGCTAGTTGTGACAGCATAGATGTATTGGCTGTTTTATTATTGTATAAATATTTAATTAAGAATAACAGAAAAATTTTGAAAAAAAAAGTAATTATTAAAACGAAATAATAAAATTTAACAAAAGGAATACATATGCATAAAATCTAATAAAAGGATATAAAAAAGTATTTTTTTAGTGTTAGAAAAAAATCAATAAATTGTGTCTAGTATGAGTATGTGTTAAAGTTAAACATGGTACATGTATGTATTAAAATTTATTATTGTTTACAACAGTTTTAATAAAGCATTTAACAACGAATGTAACGGAGCTATACTAAATAAAACTATAATAAAAAAGTGAATATTTTATTGTTATTACTGCGACATAATGGGTAGGTTTTACATATTTCTAATAACAAGATGAAATATAATTTATGGAAAAAAATTATACAAATTTTTAAAATTTAAAAAAATATATGTATTTATTTTTAACACCTTGTACCCTAAAAGAATCATTGACTTATTACTATTGTCCTTAGTATTTTTATCTCAAGGATATTTATGCATGAGTTTGCAAAAACAAAAACATGTGCGACATCAAGCGTTTGTACGTGCTGCGCTTATCCTTAATCTATTTTAAGGATTTTTTTTGTGTGTGCAAAATTCTACCCACATTATTTTCTACAGCCAGCCAAACTGATTGACATCTTATGTATTAAAATTAGAAATGTTAGATGGTGAAAACTTATAATTTTCTGATGTGGTGTCACGACTTTTACTATTCAAAAAACTTGTCACGTTGATAATTTGTTTAAATTTAAACTTAATAAATTTTGTACTTTGGAGGACAAAATGAATAACTGCAATAGCATTAGATCAATTTATTAGTTTCTATTTATTTTCTAGTATTTTTTCGTTAATGAGATAAATTAGTTTTTGCATATGTTTGCAGTTAAGAACAAGTTTTAAGTCAAAATCAAAAATAAATTTTAAATAAATTGTTTCACAAATCAGAAGATTTGATAAGCGGGCTGATTTAAGTGATATTAATTCAAATTCAACTTCAATTGATCCTGATTCCAACAATTAGCATTTTTAGCTTATATTATACATATAAGCTGTTCTACCAAAATATGGTCTTTTAAACATTGTATTTGCTCTATTTATGATAAGAATTAATTACACATGTTTCCCGAGTTAAGTATCATTTAATTGTAATACTTTCTGTTATGCTATAATAAATATTGTGAAAATATTACTGCAATAAAATTTAAAGAAAATCTGTACTACCCAGATTTTTTTAACCTACTATTTATAATTTTATGTATTTCAATATAATTTTTACACATTTTTGCCCTCATATATTCATTAATCTTACTCAGACGCATTTGAAAGTTATAACATCAAATATACATGTATGTGCACATACCTAAGAACAAATTCTTTGTGGGAGTGTATTTGTAATTTGAGATTTAAGTCCATATAATATAATGGGCCCTAAAAGAATTTCCCTTGACATTAAATGTCTTAATGTCAGTAAAGTTTATGGGCAAAAAAACATCAACTTTATGAAAAACATTTAAATTTTCAACAATCTACAACAGGAAGTTTGGTATTGCGAGTTATTGAAGTTGCTGGGTAACACACCCTGCAAGTACATGGTAATGACTTGTACTTACTCAACAACTTAGTTTTTAATGACTACTTCACATAAGATTTTCGTATACTTGACACAACAAAGAGTGTGCTAGTCAGTCAGTTGGGAGGTCGTGAGTTTTATTCCCACCAAAAACTCTGTTAAAGGAGTGAACAACAAGCCCGATAGTGGTACAAGTATTTATTCGGATTTAACTACTCAACTGCTTATTTGTAAGCGAACGTGGTAGATAGCTTCTTGACTAACTATATGTTTTTACGTTAAAGTTTGGCTCGAAACGAAAATCCTCAAATTATTTTTTTGTTTATGTTGGTGTTTGTAACGTGATACACTCATCTTTGATCGATTCAGAATCATTCTCTGAATCGATTTACCAAGTTCTATTCGACCAACGTGTACTGATATAAACGTTGTTTAAAAAATACATGAAACTATTTTTAAGATAATTTGATGAAATTTGGCATAATTACCTGCAAAAAATCTGAAATTTTTGGTAACGTTATTAGTTATTTCATACATTACATGGCAATGAGTAATCGTTATTAACCACATTATTTCGTTTAGCTGTATATTGCGCCCGTTTAACATATAAAAGATTCGTGTTCGAGCCCTCCTGGATACCAGTTATTTCTTTCAAAAAGACAAATATTTCACGAACCTCGTCTAACTGAAATAAGTAGTAAATTACCCCAATAGTAAGTAGAGTTTACTTAGCTCCTACATTACTTTCCAGTTACCTGGTAAGTAAAATTTTTCCAGGGTATTTCTTTTCGTGCAAGCCAATTGAAATTGTTTGAAATTTGTTTACTATTTAACCTATCCCTCATACAACCCCCAGAATTGGGCTTGTGGGCTCACTCGCAATTGTGTTATGGGCTTCATTTGACCAAACAAAGTCTCTACAAAAAATGTCTTGAACAAAGATAATTCAATTATACTAGTATACGTGTTTTAAAAAAGTCATTTTAATATGTACACTACACCACTATAGTGGGGAGAGTATTATGCGTTCGTGCTGATGTTAGTAACATACAAAAATATTGGTACTACACCTTAAAGTATACGGATCGACTCAGAATTTTAGTCGATTAAGACATGTCCGTCCGTCCATCTGTCCGGCTGACTGGTTGTCCATGTAAACCTTGTGCGTATCGCAATGAAATATATTTATATATAAGCATATCCCTCCTCACAATTTTAGGAGGATCGGCCTATGTTTGACCCTAACTCCTTATAAAAGTTCTTTTATAAAATTATTTTTTTATAAATTCCTTAAATACATCGGAATTAAGGTTAAATACAACTTAAAAGTTTATTTATGAATAAAAACAAATAATTTTTAAAATGTACTCATGGTGTAGGGTATCATATGGTCGGCCTTGCCCGACTATGCTTAGGTTGTCACAGGTAGCTGATTTCGGCTTTACATGTTGATCCCTTTGTAAAAATACCTCTACTGTTGATGTCTGAACTACCCCAGACGCTGTGGTGAGCATTTGCATCAGCGCCAAATATCGCAGGAACGTGACCATGCCATTTGGTGGTTGGTCGACGTGGTCATGCGCCATATAGCAGCTATGGAGCCAGATGGTAGAGTTTCCGGTCTCCAGTGCAGCCGATACCGTATCCTCATCACTGCAGGATTTTCGGAATCCTGCGAACTGTCTCTATCCTCCGCTATCTTCAGATTACCAAGAAGATCACCCATTAGACCTGTGGTAGACTGGGAGTCTTTTTGGTTCTCAGAACCAGCGGTATCGTTGGCCCGACTATACTTTCCTACCTTTTAAGTTAAAGTTCAACATAAAAGCTTTATTATAAAAAATAACGCCTTAAGTTATTATTATATATACTAATAACTGATGTAGTATATTATGTAGCCGGTCATGTTCGACTTTACTCTTTCACTTGTTTTAAATCAACAACATTTTTCTGGAAGCTTTAGATAATCAAAGGAATGTGATTAATTTAAACTAAAAAACTATTGGTACATTTTGGTACTTTTTCTAAAGCAAAAATATTACAGATTGATGGAACATTTTAAAAACATCGCGAGCATTCAACTAGCAATTATGTATAGTATTGAGATGTTGACTCTAAATTCCGAGAGGATCGGTCCATAATTGACATACATATACCTACATATAACAACATTCCAAAACCATAAAAAATTATTAATAACTGCATGAGTGTGACCAACTTTGTTCTCCAAATTATTTCATCATATCCAAATATAAAAATCTTGGTTGTAAAATTATCACTTTTTTTAGTGGGGAATTTATAGATTAAGCATAATCAAATATAAAGCACTTCATTGAGTTTTACCAAATGACATAATGCTGGTTCCTTACTATGAGAAACATTTGTAGGCTAAAAATTTTGTTTTTTTTTTATTAATTTCCAATTGTCTGATCATCAAATTCTTTTCCGCATAACTTTGATCTATTTCAAACAGTAGTCATTAAGTCACCAAATACAATTTAGACTACGAAAGTAAAAATTCCATTTAAAGTAATAAATCTCCAATTATTAAACAAGAAATGAAATGAAAGTCTCGAGAAACTCTCGTGTTAACAGTTGAATGCATGACTAAAACATTTTAAAGTACAAATTTGTTGGTTTTTTATAAAAAAAATATCAATTTTCTAAATTGAGAAAAATGTGTGTTTTTATACTTTTTTAATGATCAAATGACGTACATTTTGATTAGAATATAATATAGTATAAAAGAGGAAAACAAATAGTTTCATAGCTTCACTATTTATGTGTTTGTATGTGTGTGTGTGAATATTTGTTTATAGTTTATTACTGTAAACAATAAAAATTTATAATTTATTAACACACTGTCAATAAATTTAATTGAATTCAATTCGGTTTTTATTTGAGACTATTAAAAAAAAGAAAATAAAATTTTGTGTGATTTTCCTAAAGTATGAATGAATGAATTCTATTTGTTGTATGTTGGAATGGTGTTAATGATGATCACATCACTGCGATGTGATCGCAGACCCATCATGATGCTTAATTGATCACATAAGAAAAGTCGCGTGCTTTTATTAATAACAAACTGATGATGATCATTGTGATGGTGATGGTGGTAATGTTGATGTTGATGATGATGTTGATTATTATAGGTTGCGTGATATAAGTAATGCGTGACTTTAATTGAACAATGAGGCGCAATTTATTTTAAGTCTTTTATTATTTGTTTTTATCTAAAGCGAAAGGAATATTTGTTTTTGTATTCATAAATATTCTTATTAATTCTTTATTAATGTTTATGTACAATTTAATTTATTTATATTTTTTTTCTTTTGTTTGTTTTCTACTTACAGTTTCTTTTGTATAAGTAATAAAAATTCAAAAGGATTATATTAATGTCGAGATTTTTCAAAGACGTCTATAAGAAACTTATGCAAATTATAGGACCATAGGCTTAAACAACCTGGTCCTTAAAATATACATATACAAATTTGTGTACTTAAAAGTGCTAACACATACGAAAGAAGTAAAGTGGAGTAAGAAAATCTCAAAATGAGTTTTAGCGGCCAAGGATCATCGAACGATAATGTTCGAAAATTATCATTTCTTAGTTTTAATACTAAAAAGGTAAGTAGTATAAATTATTTAAAAAAACGTATTAAAGTAAAATTATTAAAAAAACAATCATGTGTATTAGGCTGGTTCCTTTAACTGTTATAAGCTACAATCTTTTCAAAACACCCCACATTTTCGCTCTTTTTTCTAGATTAAATAACATAAAATTTCCCTCTCCTTTGAAGCCAGTCTAATTTAAAAAGATTTTTTTTCTATACACTTTCATTTTTATAATATTTTATTATTTATTCATTAATTTTTTATGTAAGTGGTATGATGAAATTGATATTTTAATAACAGTTAATACAATAAATATATGTATATTGCTTCAGGGAATTTATGATTACTTAATGATTTTTTTGTTGCTATTCTTGTCGTTGAATTTATTTATTCATTCATTTGTTTTTATTTGCTTATAAAATAAGTGGAATAATTACAATATTGTAGAAAAAAAATTCCAAAATAAACAATTAAATTTTTGTTTAGATTCATGTTAAGATTTGTGACATTGTAATATGTTTCATACTAACTTTAGTTGGAATACCCAGCAGTTCGATCGGACAGTCCCGAACTACCTATTTAATCTACCATTTACGGTTACCACGTGCTTGTCCTGCGAGGAAGTAAATCGTCACTCCATAGATTACGATGAGACAAAAGGCTGAAGTTTGTTTTTTAAGTATTCACTCTCTTGCTTACAAAGGGGATACTAAAGCGACGATTATCTTTACCCTAGTTTACAAAGAGTACATCCATGACGAAAGACGAATTAGAGCCAAGCAGGTGGTTAGATGTTAGTGGAAATCACTGTCTTGTTCGGTTGAATTGACTCTTTGTCGAGCTGCTGGGTATTGGTACTCATTTCAATAAAACTGAGTCTTGCATATCATGTCCACTGTAATGGTCTGGCTATTGGGATATACACATGTATGTATGAATGTATTTGCGCACAGAGAGAAAAAAATAATTTTAAAATTATACACGCCTGGTACCAAATTGACACCAAAGTGTTTATAATTTTTGAATAACATCCGTTGTCAAAGTACATATATATGGATAGTTGTCAAACCAACAATAAAAATATAAAAAATAAACAACGTTATCAAATCAACAAAAAAATAATAATCCAAACCAAAATGACAACGCTATGTTGTCAAACAAAACGTTGCATTGTCGAAATGACAACGATTCGTTGTCGAAATCACAACGATGCATTGCCGAAATGACAACAATGAGTAGTTGCAGTGACAACGATACGTTGTCAAAATGACAACCACTATTGTGTTCAAAATGATAACTGGGTGTTATTTAAATTTTATACACATCCGTTGTCTAAATGTTAACAAACGTGGTAAGCTCACGGTTGACAACGGATTATTATCAATTTCGGTACTTATCTACCGGTTTTCTTCCCTCTGTGCGTCTACTCTTGAACATCACCTTTACTTTCTTGCATAAACTTATTCTAATTCATTATCCACTTAACTAAGTATTCCAAGACAGTCAATCAGAGTCCGATATCTAACCATTGGGCATTACTAGAGCCCTCATGTAGTAAGACCTCCTCCCTTCTGACCGTAAATAAATGGTCTTTCGGAAAACTGTCTATCGTTCGACAATCACCAAACCCAAATCATTACAGTCTTGGTGACAGTATCCCATCCTGCCACATACATCTTATTGAAACCTTTTGATACACAATCCGCTACTACCATCAAAGCATGAGAAGTAGGATAGCCACTTCTGAGTCCGAATTTAATGTTGTTCTGTACGTCCATATTGTTGATACTTAAATGAAGGAGAAAATATTGAAGCAGTGTAGCAAATGCTGGCATTAAGGAGTTTAGCCTATAGTTTTTACCACATCCAGAATCATGGCTTGTGATTAGAAAACACTAAGGCCTCTCTCCATGCCGCAGGAAACTACCTAGCCAATATTCATGCCGTGGCTTATAAGGACTAAAAGGAATTTCCATATTACAACATAGGTATCCTCAGTCCACACTTTAAGAAACCGATGCACCCTTAAAGTCCCACAAAAAGTGGTCAGTACTACGTTCTGTCGTTTATAAGGCTAATAAGCTTAAGGTATTCATAATTAAATTAAAAACTTTGTCAAAAGCCTTTTAAACTTTCACCAAACATGCATGATTTATATATTTGTAAGTACGTTACACTAAAAGTTTTATCTCTTTTAATCTATTTATATATGTGTGTCTAAATAGGTATAATTTACAAAGGGCTTTAAGACCATAATCAACTTGTATTTATTATTTACATACATATTTCTTAAATATTCTACTAATACATACACATTAGGGTAATAACCAATATTAATTCGTACTCGTAACTACTACAACATTTATATTATTAGAATGTATAAATTCAACAAAAATTATAGAAAACTAACAGTTTTTAGACAATAGAAATACCTTAGAAAAGTAGATTTTCCAAAATAATATATATCCCTAATACACATACTTATCATTCCTAACTGATTAAATATATAAACTTATTTTTTCAACATAAAAAGTATAAAGAATTATTTGGGCGTTTAATAATATTTAATGAAATATGTATATCATTATTTATTTAGGATAAAAAATATGTTGGTCCTTTTTATGACAACATCAATAATGAAAGAGGTAGATGCATACATACATATTTAATTTATTTAATTCTACTAAAAGTCATAACAGGCATAATTTGATTATGAAACTTCAAAAGTGAAATATGACATACATATGTATTGTATGTATGTATTCAAAGCTATTTATATAAAAATATATTAGATACATATAAGGAACACAAAGATTTGGCAAAGTCAAATGTAATGCTTTTCTTTCATAAGCAGTGTAAAATTGTGGTTTATAATGAATGGCTATAAAGGGCTTCCCTTAATGAAGAAATAATTAATAATTTGATTTAAAAAAAAAATATAATTTTCCAAGGACTTTTCTTTGACAAAACACAACAATTTTAATTGTAAAAAATTACATTCGTTTTAATTTTAATTCTTAAAAATATTATTATAGGGACACCCTATATTTTGCTCTATCTTCACATATATTTGGCCACTATTTAAACAAATATTTAAATTAAATACACAAAGTATTAGGAAAAAAATAACATGAAATGAAATGGAATAAAATCAATATCCATGGTCAAGGTTGTTGCTTACATTTTGCAGTTTTTCTAGTCTAATGTGAACGACCAACTGATGATAGACAAAGATTATTTTACACCTTCTAACAAATTCGTATTTATTATCGATTTAAATCTTCATTAACGTCCATTGATTGCAATACTTAATGTTTGTGTTTTTGTTGTTATTTTAATAAAATAGCAAACATGGGACATTTATATGTCTGTATTGTGTAGCGATGTTATAATGTAAATGAAAATGTAGCTGTTGGAGACAGTTAATCTGGATTTACAGTTTCCTGTTATAGTTGTAAAGGCAAATGAATTTGTGTCAATATCATTAAGAATTGTATTAGAAAAGAAATGAATTTAGTGTAAGTGGAGGTGTTGGATTTGACAGTCACGGAAGTTACACTATGGGCCAAGGGTCAATTTAGTATAGAAATCTAAAGATTTGGATAAATTTAAATTTTTTTTAGAATAAATCATTTATTAACTCCCACAGAGCATTATACAGTGGGATAGTAATAAACAAGTAAGAAATTATAGTCGGGCGAGGCCGACCATATAATACCCTGCACCAGTTATAACAATAAAATGTGATTTAGTTTTCATAATAAAGCATTTAAGTTGAATAGTACATTGCCTCAGATATACTTTAGCCATTTATTGTTGAATAAAATTGTGTACATTTAAGTCATATTTCGAAGGGTTCTTTGTATAGGGGCAGGGGTCAAACGAGGCCCTATCATCAAAAAAATTCATCAGGGTCATGAAGGCTAGTATAGAACTTGGTTTTGCAGCTTTTTGTCGAGCTACGAGTACATTGAACATAATTATGAACTTAAAAGCCCTACTCGGGGGTTCAGTTGTATGGGCGCTAAATCAAATATTGGACCGATGTTACCCATTTTCAATAGGATTCTTTTCTGGTATAATAGAAGATTATGTGCAAAATTTCATTGAATTATCTTCAAAATGGCGACCTGTACTTTGATTACATGTCTTACAAGCCCTTTTCGGGGGTTCAGTTATATGGGGGCTAGGTGAAATAATGGACCGATCATAACCATTTTCAATAGGCTTCGTCACTGAGACAATAGACGATCATGTACCAAATTTCATTGAATTATCTTCAAAAATGCGACCTGTAGTTTGATTACAAGGCTTACATGGACGGACAGACAGACAGACAGACGGACAGACAAACAGACAGCAGACAGACAGACAGACAGACAGATAGACAGACAGACAGACAGACAGACAGACAGACAGACAGACAGACAGACAGACGGACAGACGGACGGACATAGATTAATCGGCTCAGAAAATGATTCTAAGCCGATTGGTATACTTTGAGGTATGTATAGGACCAATATTATTGTTCGTTACAAACATCAGCACAAACCCAATATACCTTCCCCTCTAAAGTGGTGTAGGGTATACTAAAAACAACAACAACATACAGCTTGATTAGGAAGGGTATTATGCAATTGTACTGATGTTCGCAAAACCTAAACAAAGTGTTCTATACCAACCTTTATCTTGATCAAAGGACGAATCCAACATAGTTTTCTGTGAGCTCTTATACAAAGGTCCATAATTCACTTATAAGCACTATTATCACAATGAAATTCAGCATAAATAACTTTAATATAAACTGTGCATTCAACTGGCTAGACCATAATTTATTTAGCTGTAAATTAGTTTAATGTCAATGAAAAAAATGATGATATTAAAAATTCACTTCATAAATTTATAATACCTTTAACAAGGAAGTTTAATTTTTTTTATTAAATTTTAATTGAATCCTTTTTTGCATGTTCATATTCAAACCAAAATATACATTCACACCAACACACATACTA